AGTCTTGTTAACAACCTACAGTTGCAAAGCAAGTAGACACTTCTAAATTATAAATTATTTGTATTGCGGCAAGATACAACGGATGAAAAAACTCGGCAAACTTTTAGTTTCATTTCACACAACACTGAGAGATATTTGGGCCTGCTTGATTTTCATTAAAGTCCACTTTAATATTTATGTAACAATCTATGGTAGCTAACCGGGATCTGGAATGCTTAAACTACAAAAGATACAACTTTACACGTAGAAGAAATAATAATGCATTTGGTCAGAAATAATATACAATTTTCGGTTATTTACCACGAAGTTATTGGATGTCTGAAAAGGGTAATACTGTAGAAATAAAATGTAATACAATTCAAATAAGGAACATCTTGATGTGAAGCTTTCACGGCGGCTTTCATTAATAAAGTCCTCTTGGGCTATCAGCCGTGTTAGTTGGTGATCAATCGCCGACGTCTTGAGGACAGAGACGGTTCTCGAAACGTCGGCGATTGACCACCGACTAACATGGCTGATAGCCCGAGAAGACTTTATTAAGAAACATCTTACGTTATTCAGGCCACATCTCGCTAGTTGACTTGTACATCTGGTGTTCTCAGGACAGATTTACACCAACAGATCTTAGGCACAAAAGTTCATGATGCACAAAGAGTCCTCCACAAGCAGACATAACATCAGTTGTAAGATTCTTCAAGGACTCTGAAGAATGATGACTACAGGTATTCCATCACAGAGGAGACAGGGGAAAAAAAGAAAACGAAAAGAGGCTGTCTTTCTGGACATATAAAATGCTATAAAAACTCAAATACACTAGTATTCTCTTTTGCTGAACAAGATAAGAAATAAGTAAAACTTCCAAGTTTCGGGAATGTGTGATTGAACAGTAGTGATATACTATGATGCAAGTATTAGACATGAATAACTACAATAGTTTCAAGACTATATACCAGTGGTCCCCAACCTTTTTGTGCCTACGGGCAAATTTGAGAGTTTATGAGATCGTGGCGGGCACAAACCAATTAACAAAGCCAAATTTTCTTTTTTTCTCTGGACAAATAATATATGGACACCAAATAATACGCAAAACAACGCGACGTTTAATGATACAAGAAACCACACAATCAAAAAATATGTACTTTTATAAGTACAATTATTATTACTCAAGTGGGAAGTTAGTGTGATGTTTGGTTCATCGGCCATTTTTTCAAATTTGGGAGTGTAGGATGATGTTGCTGCTCGCAAACAATCGTCAAGATGGGCGTCGGTAAGTCGAGATCTGCGCTTTGATTTTATGATGTTCGTGGTTGAACGGCCTTCATTATTCAGTATAACCTCTTTCTGTAACAAAGCGGGCACCCAAAAAAAAGCCTTGGTGGGCGCCATGGCACCCGCGGGCACTGAGTTGGGGACCACTGCTGTACACCAAGGAAAATTTTTTTGCTGCAACTGATATATATTACAAACTATATTTTGGACTAACCGTATAGGAAACCCTTCAGCAGAACAAAAGCTGATGAAATTACAATTCTTCAGATTAATCTGCTTTCATAGTGAATGAAGAAAATACTGAAAAGTAATATCTGAGATTCAAAGTGGTGAAAAAGTGAACTGTGGCCTTCTGGGTTGTCGTACTATTATAGTCTTGTAGGTGGGTAAGTTTTTCAGAGGAACATACTGGCTTCAAAATAATGACAACCATAAAGAAGACCACACAGTATCACATTTCACAAGTGTTATTCTTCGCTCAACTCAAATTCAGTTGAACATCAAACTGCACTGCTTTTATATGACCCAATATTTTCACTGCCTGAATGAGTGTTTAACTTCTTTCATGTCTGCATGATGAATGATCCTATATATCCTATCCTGCAATATAATTAAAATCTTTTTCACTATAGTAGTATAACATACGTAATTACGTTGCTTTCCTAAAGATTAATCTTGCTGCAACATCTCCTCCTACTTTTAAACCTCACACCAATACAATTCAAACACAACATTATCAAATTAAATCTCTTCTTTGTGTACACATTTTAAAAAGTTTCATAAATCACTTCATTTTTTTTTGTGTCCAGTACACACCATTCAGCATGGTGTGCATTGGTTGTTAGCAGGATTCATGACCTATCAGTACATAGGTTCGATCGGGACCGCGACATTTAACGCTCCTGCCATGACCCCCTTTTCGCGAAATGATGATGAAAGTGGAGTAATTGTTGGGATGCCACAGAGAAACCCTGGAGGAAAACTCTGTGATGCCTGGACCACAGCCTTGCCCACCACAAGTTGTAAATCTGAGCACCGCCGGGAATCGAAACCGGGACCCCAGTATTACAAGTCCAGCGTTCTGACCGCTAGACCACCGTGGCGGTTACTTCATATTAATTGTGTGGAATTTCCTTTTTTAAAAGGATGGTTTACAACAAAATGAGTAGTTTAAAATAATATAAGTATGAAAATATTATATATAAAGATAAATGAGAAGTCTGTGCTGTGTTAATATAATGTATTGGCACACACACACTTTTTCACCGACAAACTCTGAAAACTGAAAATAAATAAGAACAAAAATTAAATAGTACGCTATATCGAATGTTGAGTCTTCAAATTCATATTTATAGTTCACCTTTTACATCTCTATTATCAAAGTTCATGAACAAACACTGTGTACAATTTTTGTAAGTACAACAACGAATGGAAAGTATGAAAGTTATGGTATGGAATGCTAATTCTTGCAGAAAATTTAACATACCATATGCATAGAAACTAAACACCCCCCCCCTCCCCCAACCATTCCAAAATATTTCTGCAAGCGGTCAGTGGTACAAATTTTGGACGGAAGCCGTTTGAAAAGGAAGTGAACTTTGCTTTGCTTGTAATACGTAGGGCAGTTCCCGGAATTGTGGTATAGCACTGTAATGGTAGGACATATGGCAACGTTCAAAGTAGGACTCTTGCACACACTTGCTCCATGGATCCTACCATTGTTTGAAGCACCGACGGAAGGCTTCGTTTGGAATCTTCCGGAGTTCGGCCGTCGCATTCGACACCTCGCTGGTTGTGCAGCAATTCCTCGCTGAGAAAAGCATTCCTGTCATCACCCAACCACCATACTCTCCGGATCTCGCTTCGAGTGACTTCTGGCTGTTCCCTACTCTGAAAATGGGCCTCAAGGGGATGCCTTTCGCAACCATAGCGGACATCAAATCAAATGCGATGGCCGAACCTTGGAAGATTCGAAATGAAGTCTTCCGCCGGTGCTTCCAACACTGTCAGGATCGATGGAGCAAGCGTGTGTGCATGCAAGGGTCCTACTTTGAAGGTGATTAGGTAAGTGTTGCCATATGTCCTACCATTACAGTGCTATACCACAATTCCGGGAACTTTTTGACTGCCCGTCGTAGAATAAAATACTCACTGCTGCTAAAAAGTATCCAAAGCAGAGAATTTAAGGACTATCTTATGATATATATCTCACATTTTATAATGATTCACAATATGATTCTGATGTTCATTATTTTAACATGACGTATGTGTACAGCATTTTTCTTGAGGTCCTCCTCCTTCTCAAACATTGTCCACCTGCCGTCACATAAAGCTGAACCACTCTATTCATCAACCTGTGAGTGATCAAGTGTAAATAAGAGAGTCTATCTCAGGACTCGTAAAATAACGATGCGCATCAGATTCTTAGTAGACAAGGAAAATAGCTGACAAAATCTGACATTAAGTATAACCCAAAAACAGCTCAGAAATTGCAATAATTTTTCAGTTTACACTAATTTCTGCAACACAAAACATACGTTAAATCCACATTTTTCTAAAGAAGTGTCATTTCCAAACTGTTCATTGGTTAGTCAAGTTTGTTTCAGCTTCTCATGGCGTACAATCGTCACCTTAACACTTAATGTTAAGTACAGTGATATGTTAAAAATGTTTAGATAAAAATACATATCTCGTCTAAGAAACAATATATGCAATACAGACTTTTAACTGCAAGAGATAATGTGACTAGTTCGCTCATTATACATACTCATGTCATCCACATGGTCTGCATCAATAATTCAAAGTTTCACTTCTCAGTCTGTCTTGGGGTGGTTTATCGGCGGATTCCTCTGTTGTTGTGCCTGCTGATGACGCTGTAAACGTGATGATTGCGCCTGTTGACGAAGCTGAGCTGTCTTCAGTTTTGTCATCAGCTGACTTGACTGCCATAACCAATTTGCCTGTAAAATTTAACAAATGTTCAAGTTTCATTATAACAGGATCATATTAATTTTCTACTGGGCTTGTAGAAATAGTGAAACAGATATTAAAATACAGCAAAGACCGCAAAACAGAATAGTCCAATTTCTAAACACAATTTCAGCTTCTGAAACAAAACACAGTAATATGCCATCGGGAGTGCCAATGCATCTAACAAACTGTACTAAAGAGATTTTTTTAATTACATTTAGAATATTACACTGAAACGGCTACTGAACATTACAAGAAAAATCAAAGTTAAACAAGACTTCTACGTAGCATACATCTACACTATACAGTCTGAGCTATGAACATTATTAAAATAACCATAAATAAATTAAATACAGGTAGGACTCGGTTTATGCCGGGGTAAGGTTCCTGAGATTTCCGGCGTAAAATGAAGCTGCGTAAATTAAAGCAAGAATATAATGGGAACATATGTAAAATACAATAGGTTCCGTTCCATGATTTTCAGTAATCAACACAAAGTACTTGAAAAAATGTTTTGTTTTATGAAATTTATGTATTGAAAATTGTATAATGTTTAAGAAAAATAAAGAAAATTTACTGCTTTAAGAACGATAGAATAGATGTCTGATTGATAAATTGAAGCATATTACGATTATCCAGAGTTTAGCTTACTGATATATTAGATAATATTTATCATGATTAGCTTAAACACGAAACAAAGAAGATCAATTACAGTTACATTATCACTTACCACCATAATCATGCAGTTGAGCAGTATTGGCACAGAGAAGACAAGAGAAATGAACATTCCTTGGTTATCAAAGTACTGCTGTCTTGAAAATAAACTGTATAAAAGAAATATGAACATTTCTTATGTAGCATTAGCATTATTGTCATTTTACTTATATTTATTACTGGTTTAAATCCAATGAAACTTTCAAGAACAAAACACAATAAATAAACTTCTGGAAGATTTCTGTCTTCTGGGTTATTGCGCTGTGTAGTCTGGTCGATGCTAACCAACGTTTCAGAGGTCATACTGATGATGGAGGCAGTATGACCTCTGAAACGTTGGTTAACATCGACCAGACTACACAGCGCAACAACCCAGAAGACAGAAATCTTCATACTCACTGCTGTGAAAACCTCAAATCCCACAACAAAATCTTTATCAATATTAGTTACAAGTAGAGTAAATCTTGTTACAATAGACTATCTATTACCAGTGGTAATACAGCACTAATCAGTGAAGAAAATAAGCGCCCTTCATAATGAGACAGCCCATTTATTACCAGTTCAATAGAATATGTTTCTTCCTGGAATTGTCTATAAAAAGCATTGATAATGGCATTGGCTACAGAATGAATCTGGAAATACTATTTTCTCTGAATGCATCTTACCAAAATGCTACAAGTATATAACATCAATATTACTCAGTATAATATCCTACCAAATACTGAACTACTGCATAAGAATGAGCCAACGATACAAATTATATAATGAATATGTACAGCATTTAACAAATCTACGAGGTAAAGAAAATAATAAAACAAAACAAAACAAAATACTAAACTAATTTTGACAAATTAACTGTCAGCATATTTAACTTACCTCCAATTATTTGCTGCAATTTCATTAATGCTCTCAGAAAAGTAAACTAATAACACTGAAAAAAAGGAAAAGAACACAAAAGTCAGATATCCGACACAGTATATGGAAGCCAGAATGGAATAACTGGACACCACACATCTATCATATGAATATTTTGAAACAAGACAACTGGTTTGGTTGACCAATTCACTATTTTCAAACAAATGTTTGTCTCAACTTACGCAGGATAAAAAACAGCAAAACTTGGAAATTGCTGTGGTTTCTTGTAAGTAAGGTCATCAGTGTTATTGCAACATGAAAAACAATAAGTCCTACAAGCCATGGGTCATGCCAGTCAATCTGAAATAAAATAATCCATTTCATTAACTACTGTTATACAATTCATGACCCCAGCATTGCAAAACAAAATCAGTGTCCCTAGGGTTCTCATGGCACTGAATATCATAAATATGGTTTTCTGGGATGCAGTGGCACATGGTTACAAACATTTCCAGATGAATGTATCACGTCCACCTTCACTGTAGTGGAATGCTCCTCCAGAGCACTGGTAACCACCTACACTAAATATCACAAACCAGAAGATCACAACTGGCCTCTCCCATTCAATTGTAATCCCCAACATTTCTGAGGTAAAAACTCACTTAAAATTATGGAGCTCTGATGCAGTAACTGTTGCCTCAAGGGCTGACCAGGCAACCAGAAACTGAACTTGGCTAGTAATTTATTGGTGAGGCCTCTATTGGACTAACATTTTACATTTTAAATACTGTTTTTCTGAAAAATCTGAACAATCTTTTCACTTCTTATATGACATGCTGTCTTACAACTTCTCTGCACTCTCTCCAGTGCAATGGAGCCTGGCAAAACTGTCCTCTGTATTGGATATAAAAAGTATAAGATACGATTGTTCTTAATTTACACGTTTTACAGTAAGAACTCAATAACAACCCTCTTAAAATTCTTGATAATTAACACAGTTTAGTATTAGCATATTCAATTTTTCTGTACACGATGTATATTATGTAACCAAAAACTAACCGTTAATAAACAATTTTCGACAATGAAGTATGTTTAAGGAGCAGAATACACACACAGCTTTCACAACATTAATCACTGTTGCCATCATCATAAATTACAAAGAATTACAACTAGGCTTGGTTGCCTGATTCTAAACCCTCGTAATGTAGATGGTCTCCATGCATGTTCGAGATCTCGTCACCAGTCGTTTGTATTTCAGTGCCTGACTTGGCATTTTATTTGTCTTTATTCTATTCACAATGCTATCTTATGAAAGTAGTAGCCAGAAAAATAATTAGTCACTGTACAATATCACAGAATGCATACTAACACTTTGTAAGAAGGTCCAAATACCGATGATATCTTCTGTCCGTGTCAGCTGTGGATCCACCATATTTGCCGTAAGTCAGTTGTTTATCAAACCGGTAAAGTGCGTTATACACGAGCAGCGCTACTTTCCCATTGATGTTCAATATATGGAATTATCTACACAAACACGCGCCAGTTCTAAGCAATTTTGAATTATTACTTTTCAGCAAGTAAAGAAAGTAGAAAATAGCTGTAAACAGCGGAATCTACCATCAACTGGAAAATCAGGACAAGGTCTGCAAGTTTATGCTCTTGTTCGAATGAAAGAAATTGAAAGTGTCGGTTACACGCACGTAATCATCATCATCATCATTGGCAAAACAGCCCTTTTTGAGCATTCTGCCACATTCGTCTATTCCTGGCTATGTTCTTGACCAATGATCATCTAGTGCTGAGGCCAAGAAAGAGTGGATTTATGACGTGGTGCTTAATAACTATCAGGGACAACTTTATCCACACAGAACGAGTGGGTAAAATCCTGATGAATTAATATTTGAAACGAGTTTTTGTAGATGTTACTGCAAAGAGAAATATTCTTGTGCTAGGGATTATATTTTTCTACGACATTCAACAACACGCCTAAGGGTCAGATGATCAGAACTATGACGAGCTTTCGGGCTAGAAATAGTGATTAAAGAAACGTCAAAATTTGTCAGAATCAGAGAGAAAGGTTAAGTCTCGAGGATCATATTAAAATTTATTTTTTTTGGAAGATTTTGCGATGGTGTGAGCTGGACTGAATTGACTCAGGTCGGACAATAAAATTAAACTTTATGATAACAACGAAACTTTGGATTAATAATACTACTTTGCAGGGATAAATATTTCATTTCAAAGTAAACAACATAAGCTTCAAAAATTGCATTTGGGTACGAGATACAGAAGCATAATCTAAGACATAAGATTATATATTGTTGATGATTATGATAACGTCACAGTTGATAATGAATTGGTCCCTAATATAGGGATATTTTTCATCGAAACATTTCACTTTTTTATCTTGTCACATTCTATAGCGCGGTGATAAAATTAATATCGCAGTACAAATATGCATAGTTTATAACAATCGGGGGGGGGGGGTAAATTCACATATAAACAAACAAACATAAATGGAAAGAGGATAAATCAAATAACAAAGAGGGGGAGAAAGAAAGGTATTAAAATGAGATAGAAAAGAATATAGAAGGGTGGGAGAGACAACGAAAAAGATAAAAAGAAAAGAATAAAATGTTGACAGTGGAACCACGGTTACGGAGAATCTGACGTAAATACGTCTCTGTTCTGTAATGTAATGCAATGTAATAATTCTTATATAAGATAAGAACTTGTGATATTCTAAAACGTTTTTACCAGCACAAAATTATCTACTCTACGACGAACTTCTTCTACAAGCGATTAACAGCAAAGCTCTTTCAGCAATAACGAAATCGGATTTTTGACGGCAGTAATAAAACACAACAATGCCTAGTAAACAAATGACATAACAATTAGTTTCTTAGGTAACACAACTATTGTTATCGGTCCATATTTATTATACACATTGTTGATATGGATCTTACACATCTTCGTTACGATTTTTTGCCGAATGATCCTTCCGTATAGACGTATTTACGTCAAAAGGAAAAATTAGAAGGAAAAAGGCAAGAACGAAAGAAAAATAAGTTTTTTTTGTATATAAAATAAATGTTATTTCAATGATCCACCGAACGTCTTTGAAATATTCTAGCCACATTACCTGGCTTCGGAAATTTTGAAATACTCTTAAAGTCTCCAAAATATAGAAATATATGCCATAAGAACTGTTTAATTTTAGTCTTAAAATTCGTAATAGAAGGTGAGTGGAATGCACATGGATTATATTCAAGTATGACACCAGTAAAAAAATCATGTTTATTATACCAGTCTTCATAAACAATCATTCGTTAAAAATCCTGTTTTTTTTGTAAGCTTTGGAGGCATGTTTTTTTTAAAAAAAATTCCATTGTTTATTCTCAATAAAATGCATAGACAAATAATCTGTTTGTCACTGAAACGGGGCCCTGTCTTATATTATATATACTCAGCGTTACAGATTACTCTTTTATCAGCAGCATCTTTTGACCTTGTTATCACAACCGTTGTACCTCACAGTTATAGTCGGTTGAAATAGAAAACGTGACAGAGCGTACAACAAGGTCCCAGGCGCGAGAAATACAAACGAATGGCAATTTGTGACGCAGGTCGGATAGGAAAATTAGTTTTCGAGAAGTGACTGTCACTGTTGAGCCTTCAGGATATCCGTGCACAAAAGTGATCTGACGACACTATCGAGTAACAATAAATGATGCAACAATTACTACTGTTCATGTAGTCATGCCATGCAGCTTCTCTACCCCCGTAGGAAAAACTGGACAGACGAGTATGAACTAGTCAATAGGGTAATTATTCACTTACGCTAGAGCGTGAAGAACATCGAACACTTCTGCACAAATCATCTCTTGACTGACCGTCAGACAACTGTCACCTTGAAATGTAAATATATAATTATTCTGCACCCTGATTTGAAACAAGCTAACAGACAAGATGTCTGACTGTTTCCAATGCTTTAATTGCCAGCGGTAACACGCTTTCAGAGCAAGCAGTCGGTTCTTTGTTTCAATAAAATTAATTTTAAGGAAATCCTGGACTAAGATAGTCGCTTTTGTTGGTATAAATACGGTACATACACATATACAGACATACATGCATACACAAATTGTATTACATCAAGTACATATTTAGAAAATGTGAATATATATTCATTTTATGCCTAATCACACTAATCTGTCTTCCTTATCAGTTATTGATCTCTTTGTGGTATTATATTTAACTCCTTATTCCCCTCTAAATATACGATAAGATTAATACAGTGTCGTCAACTAAGTTTTACTAAGTTTGTGGATACATGCAAATAAAAATTACATTTACGAAAAACGTAGGGGAAGATAAAATTAGAGAATCCTAGCTAACATCAGTTCAGAATCTTCCTTCTTCCAGTCCCATGTCTAAAGAGCTGACGATTTATACAAAACTGTAACTTACGTGTTATTTTCTATTGATGTGAAACTAGATTTATCTCTTGACGCAAAAGTCTTTTAGTCTTCAATGAAATGTGCTTAATTTTGTTTTGAATAATATCATCGCTGAGCACTAACTCCCATCTAATGCCGAGGTGTTACCGCTCTCCCCCAAGAGCTTCTTGGGGTATAGCGGGACAGTTTTACTTTATCACAAGTTTTAAGAACTATCTACTACCGTCGTCCTTCAAAAGACCCCAACAATAAGAGACAAAGTCGAAACGCAAACAGATTTTTCATTTGTAGCTTTATCCCCATGTGTATTTTATAAAATAAGGGTTTGAGTCCTAGAAATGAAATTAAGAAACTGAAACTGGGACATGTGTGTGGGTGGGTATTTTAATCAGAGTTGTGTTTCCAGTCCAGGCTTACAATCTTCGTACATCTCGACTCGTAACTTATTCACTGATTCCAGCCAACTGCTATCTCTAGTGGAGTCCAAACACCAATGGCGATTAAGAAAGAAACACAAAGAGTTATAAGGCTTTGTTAAATATTAAGACACAGGAGTCAGGTGTAAGGATGGATAGTGATCAACGTCCAAGGAACAACTGATAGACCGCATATGTAAATGTATCCGTATTATCTTCAGAGTGACGCATGGTATAAAACGAAAACCTAAGCACATATGTGTAAAGTCGACCTTTGGTAAAAAGTTCAAAGATTAAAAGAGTTCTGAAGAGAGGGTATCCATAAGTGCTCTTTACATATTTTAAAGCTGTTGTATCATTAGGAATTGGTCAGTATAAAGAAGGCAACAGACTTATTGACATCCCAGAAACACTGAAGGCTTCAAAGTTGGTAAGTGACGTTCTTGTAAATGTAAATAGATATTTCGCCTTACAACTGTGGCACCTCGTTACACTGCATTACATATTTATTTTTTTATTTTTTAAGGTGTTAACGGTGAATTCATAAATACTTTAAACTGTGGAATGAAATGGTGATACATATTAATTCAACAAATATTTAAATTTTAAATAATTTTTTTTTGTAATATGTTAGGGAGCACAACACATGTAAAAAAACATATACGAAATAAATCCAAGAAAAAGAACCTTTTTGAAAAGATGACAGATGCTAAGAAAGGAATCAATTTTCTCTTTTTATGGAAACCTGAAATGTTATTATCGTATTCACTAGAGCCTGACACTGGTCCTTATCCTTAAACAGACACATCCAAAGATGGCCATCTTCTGGGTTGTAGCGCCGTGTAGTCTGACGTTTCAGAGACTCTTTCTGCCTCCATCATAAGGCGCCCTTCTACATTTACCTGTCTGCACGGCGCTACATCCCAGAAGACAACCAACTTCGTACTCACCGCCGTGAGATCCTCAGATCACACGAACCCAGTGCACAACGTTAAGTCCTACATTTTAAGACCCATTTTAACATATTATAACCTCATTTGTACTTAGTCTTCCAAGTGGTATATTCCCTCTAGTTTACACATAAGAATTCATCCTACTTATTGTAACGTCTGACTTCATTATCATAAGAAACTCTGTAGGTTCTACGAGATGTATTTCATCTCATCTTAAGCACAACAAAATATTGTGTGGTACGAGAAGCTGATGATGGCGTTATGCCGATAAATTTGGTAATGAGTTACTAATTTTATTTATTTTAACTATATATAGCTGTGTTATTAGTTAAATTAATAAAACTATTTTTTTATGTTCGTAAGACGGTGTTAATATATTTCATATTACAATTTCTTTATATCACAACCGGATACTACATGAATAATGTAGACTAATTTTGGAGTGTATTAGATTATTAATATTAGATGTGTCCAATTTATTTCCTACGAGGCTTAAGGTTATAATGCCCTTTCAGATGGAAGTTTATTTAGTGCAGTGATTACTGATTCGACTGTATAGAAAAGTGGCAACTATAACATAAATGAAATTAATTGTTATATACATACACTTACCGTACTGTAAATACAGCAAAATTAAAGAGAGCAGAAAAGGTTTTGTATTCTTTATGTTTTAGATGCATCACACGCCATCTCTGTTTAAATTAAGATATATACAATTTAAATCGAATTTATTTATTTTGTTGTTGTTTAATACACATAATATCACAGTATTTCCTGCCTTTCAGAAAGAACAATGACTAGCATTATAGCGAAAATAAAGCTAGAAACTGAGGCTCCCTCACAGGAGGTTGCCCTCATAGCTAAAGAAGAGCTCAGAGAAACTCCGGAGAGAGTCAAGGAAGCGACTAAGGCCCTTCGAGAACTTCTTAAAGGTTAGCGAAATGCAATATGAATTGAGCAGCTCACTTGTAATTATTAAATGGCCACTGTTTATCAGAAAAGGCATTCGTATTAATATTAGAATTGTGCGTTAAACTTGAAAACCGACCATCTCAGAGTAGAAAAATTGTAAAGATGGCTATCTTTTGAGTTGTTTCGCCCTGTAGTCCGGGAGACGTTTACCGACGACTCAGAGGTTCTTAGTGCATCCATCATAGCCTTGATGATGGAGGCAGCAAGCACCTCTAAAACGTCGGTAAATTTCTATCAGACTACACGGCGCAACAACCCTAGAGTCTTCATACTCACTGCCGTGAGAACCTCAAATCTCACCTAGGATAATTGTGATATAAAGGGACGCGACATCTCTTATGAGAGGAGCCAAATACATTTTTACACTAAAATATTTTGTCTTATTTTAATATAAGGCATTATATAAATATAGGCCTAGAAGGTGATATTTAGTGAGTGAAAACAAATGAATTCTGTCCTCGGTAATTACATACACATATAAATACATACGCATACACACAAAATGCATACCTACAAGCGCGAATACATTTATCCCATACTAGTCTCGTATATGTGGTATCTACTGTGACTCTGGCGTTGTAAGCTTCTTTCCACACTTTATTCACTTAAACAAACGAGTCGTGAAATATAAACGATTCAGAATAAGCTCAGTTGGTCGGAATTAAAATGTTTCTGTCTGTGTGTGTGTGCAGACTTCAGACTGCTGACAATGACCTATTTGTCGAGGTCTCTCCAGTGACCCGTAAACCGTTGTGATAAAACGAGTTTAAACTCTATTTTTAAGTTACAATTATAATTTATATTGGTTTTCTGGCATCAGCAGCTATCTAAACTTAAAAAATTATGAATGATAAACATGTGGAAACTTATGTCGTTAACCCTTCAAAGCGCAGTGGTAAATATATGTATCATTTGTTTTGATAATCAGAAACGTTTTTTTTATTTATGTATGTCTTATGATTCTCAGTGCAAATAGACATAATTTTTTTAAGTGTTAAATAGCCGATCTTTGTAATGGAGAAGTGCTTCCATCATCAGTAAGGATATCTGAAACGTTGGTCAACTTCCACGGGACTATACGGCTCAGCAACCCTGAAGACTGTCATATTTAAATACAAGCCCTCCACATATTTTTTAAACAGATACTTAAGCTGATGAGTTCTGTTTGTCATCGTTGAGAGAAAAGTTTCAGTTGATATATTCTGTGTGGATTTTACAGCCGACAAAACTTTGTATTTTCGGGACGACGATGAGTTCCTCATCAGGTTCCTACGGCCGACGAAGTTCTACCCTGAAAGCGCTCTGCAGTTGGTAAGGAATTGTATGGAAATACATAAAACGCTTGTAAAAGACAAAGTATAGTTTTTAAGATGCGGGTTGAAAGAACCAGTCACATACTTAGTTTAAATAATCGGTGTCAAAGTCTGAAATACGTACAGATGTGAACAACTTTAAAACAGAATTGCTATATTAAATATAATAAGAAGGTCTTTTTGGAATACGTAGAATGTTTTCCATATTAAAAGCCCTGTCCCTCGAAATAAAGTTCCCCTTCTTTAACAATCAACGATTTGTTATACTTGTCATAACTGGAACATTATTCCGGCGTTCGATTAACTATTCGTATGTCTTGTCTATAAGATAATACTGTCGAAATAAAAAAATGTAATAGTACGCAACGTAAAACTGGCTCTTAACTGGTAATATTAAGTGCTGTAGTTGTTCGGTAATAGATTTGAGTGCTTAACAACTTCTGGTACTTGTATGAGGTCTTTAATGAAATCGGGACGTCGTTAATTCCTTGCAAATACAAACATTAAAAAACACGGGCCTAATGATGTTTTATTAGTAATATTGATAATAGTAACATGAAAATCTGTCAAGCATCAGTCAACCGATTATCCGAATTAAATTTAAAGATCATAATCTTCATGTTAACTGTTGTTTGTACCACTATAAGAGACTCAAACTGCTTAATCTAAATTACATTAAAGGATAAGTAAAGCATATCTCAGTATTAATAGGGGGATTACAGTGCAGTACTCAATAACATGATGTTTTTACAAGATTATCGCACACTACACACAACTTAATCTGACTATAGTAACAAATCATGACTTCTATTAATTTACTTGTGTCATCCGTTGGTCAGCAATATCCGACGATGTGTTACGTAACAAATAAACTGTCTGTTATCCTGAGTAATCAGCTCCTAAAAAAATTAAAGTAACTGCGTCTCCAACAGATGAGAAGAGCTGCAGAGTTCAAGTTGAAGAACGCCTCCATACTAGACAATCTTATGCCCATTGATGAGGAGAAGTCATTACTTGAAAACGACGTGGTAAATGTGTTGGTGGACAGGGATCAGAAAGGCAGGCGGATTCTTGTAACCCACACTGGATGTAAGTATTTTAAAAATTCAAATAAATTGGCGAAATAATGGGGAAGTAAAGAAATAGGTCGACTCAGAACTAGATAGGGTTCAATGGTCAGCTTCAAGCCCCGACTGATCCAGGAAAGGAGATGGCTGTTCCTGCTGTATGTTGTCATTAGAATTTCCCTTTCCACATATGCGCACTTTTATTTATTGGACATGATTTGCTCACAAGTTCTTGTTATTCAAATGATAAATTTACAGCTCATAAGCATTTAAACATTTTAATGCAAAAATGTCATAAATAATAATAATTTTTTTATTGTTATCTATGGCTCAATAGGCCTTGATGGACCTTGGAATCCTCACTCATGGGAGGTTACTTAATTTATTTAGACGTTAGACGAGAGATAAGTCCATCGCAAGGCCTTTACATACACAGAACAGCACAATACAGAAAGACTTGTACAAACAACCATACCCTTAGCGGGAGTCCAACTCTCGGTCCCAGTGCCCAAGCGAACAAAGCCCACGCTCCAGGCTGCGTGGCCACCACAAATACAAATTTTCAATATTATTATCATCTTCAGTATCATCAGTGAATTTCACTAGAGAACTAATATTCTGTATGGTTTATCAGATAACCGTTTCGAGAAGTTGCGTCTAAGATGCCACTGTCTTAATATTTCGCGTGAATTTGAAACTATGAAAGGAGCAGTACGTATCAGGACGGTATTACACAAAGGACGACGTTTTATCGGAGGAGGGGAGGTTATCTAGAAGGAGAAGAGAAAACGAGGACCTACTTGTTCATGTCCCATTAAAAGCCCGCAGGAAAAAAATCATAACACAAGGATCCTGGGAAAAATGTGTCAAAGTTAAAATATTTGGGAATACCAAAACACAATTAAATTAAGAGCAGTTGAAATTCGAGGAAGGCTTTCTACTATTTAGGGCAGTATATTTTGTTTTTTCCGTAAATATTAAACTTTGCAAGACTGCAACGTTATCTATGTTTTATATAGGTGTGAAAATATTGTATCACACAGGGAGAACATTTGAATCTTTTAGGATGCAGTGACTGGAAGACGAAGGAATTTTCAAAATGAATTATTATTATTATGATGATAAAATGAAGGCTGATGTGTTTGGCGGAACATGCAGCAGACACGGAACTATGAGAAATTTTGGTTGGATAGCCCGTAGGGAAGAGACAACTCAGAAGACCTAGGAGTAGATGAGAGGATAACATTAAAGTAGATCTTACAGGAATAGAGAGAGAGGATGCGGCCTGGATTCAGCTGGCTCAGGATAGGGACTATTAGCGGAATTTTAATAAACACGGAATTAATATTTTGCATTCGTAAAGGCGGAAAATTTATTGACTGGATGAACGACTATCAGTTTTTCAAGAATGACTCTGTTCTGTGGTGTTAGTTACGTATCTGTACAATTGAAATTAATGCAGTACATTTGTTTTCCTCGACCTACATCAAATTCTAACTCGCACCACACAATATGCAGACAAAATATGAAATAAAATTTAAGTAAATGCAATGGTCTAGGCAACACGGAGTTTTCCTCCGGGGGGCTTCCACGGTTTCTCCGTGGCATCCCAACAATTACTCCATTCACACACAGAAGAAGGCAATGGCAAACCACTTCTGGATCATCTGCCAAGAACGTATATGAACAGGTCCCAGTTCGAGAAAAGGATGGAAGGATCCTGTTCATATGGACCTGTCGTCAGACAGAACACTAAATAAATAAAAAAATGTAGTTCAAATATTTGCGTTGGTAGCACTGCTCTGCGGTGAGATTCCGAACAAGCAGTGAAGGTATTTTTTATTATTGTGAGTTGTATTGCTCACTAATTTCATCCAATGTCAAAAATCGAAATCTTTTAAAGCTGAAGCCACAGTTACTAATGCAATAAATTATGTGATACTGCATGCATTTTTAATCTAGCTTGAAGTTCATTTTTGTTTGTATAGCAATTTGGGACCCTTCTAAAGTAAGTGCAGATCAGATATTCAGGATATTCTACCTCGTGCACCTCGCTGCTCTAAAGGAACCAGAGTCGCAAATTTGTGGAGCTGTAGTCATAATGGACTTCGATGGCTTAGGAATGAAACAAGTGAAAGGACTCACTCCTACTTTTTCCTTAAGGCTCCTTACTTTCATCCAGGTAAGTTAACAAATTTCCTTAGATAAATTAAGGTTCTCAAGGATGCGAGTATAAAGATGGCTGTTTTCTGGGTTCTATCATGTAGTCTGGTAGACGTTTACCGAAGTTTCAGAGGTTATTTGCTACCTACATCATCATCACTGTGATGATGAAAGAAGCAGCAAGCACCTCTGAAACGTCGGCAAAGTTCTAGCAGTCTACTCGGCTCAACACCAAAGACGACAGTCACGTCAAATTTCAGTGCAGTTTACCATGTTTGATTTTTCCTATACATGTTGCTTTGCTTAAAATGTTTATGCATTACAATTATTACAAAAGTAACGCATTTACATTTCAAAGATATTTTGATTTTAAACTAATTTATTTCATCACAACAAATTGACATTATGTAATGAACTTCTGAAAACGAGACGAAACTTCACGAAATTTGGTAGTAGCATTCTGTAATTTAAGACCATCCCAGCTGCGCGAACTTATGACGTACGAAACCAGGATTTTTTTTAAGATTATTACTTCGCATAATAAACAGTTGGATAAAAAAATTGCCTTTTGAAGGCAAGGACTGACGTATAATTTCGCATGCAAGCAACAAAAATTTGTAGGTGAAAGTATGACTCCAAGCGATTTACTACGAAGGTTAACAAGTTCTTCTGTGCAAATTTAGATCACTAAGTATAATCCAGTTACGTTAGTGATGTCAGATATTACGTCAAATTTCGTATATTCGTTATATTTACATTTTTTAACCATTTGTACGTCCAAAATCGTCGAAATAGTATTTAAAAATCCAGTTCGTACCTAAAAGAAAAACAACCCATCTTGGCGATGGAGGCAGTAAGCATCTCTGAAACGTCGGACACTTTCTACTAGACTAAACGGCGTAACATCCCGCAAATCTTTTTTACAACTAGTCTCCATTACACAGGCTAATGCTGTTGAAGGAATCAATCACCAGCTGTTCCCAGAATCACCCGAAAGCTAAGTGCAAAGTTGCTTAATGTTAAAGCAGGTGGTACAAGTTGTTCCCACTAGGATTTAAAGGGTTTGTGCGTAAAATACGAAAAAGTTGTCGTGACTGTAAACAGAAATGATTTAATCTCACGTACATACTAAATATTTTGTTCCTTATGGCACTGTTGCACAGACTGGAGGACTATAGGCAGAGCCACGCGAAGACCAAATCAGAAGTTTCCATGTACAATGACACTTCCCGAACTCTCTTTAAAATTAGTAGGATTTGAGGTTTTCACAACCCAGAAGACAGTCATCTTCTCTTTAAAATTGTGGATAATAAAATGGATGCAGGTTGCAGTTTTCCTGGTCTTGTCTTGGTTATGTTTTTTCTTCGTAGGTAATAAAAATCGATGCTAGACCGAAATAAAGCTCAAGACTTTAATTATTTATTTGACTGCAAATGGGTTTTTACCCGGTGGCAGTGGTCCTACAATAAGACACAACAAAACATAAGACAACAAAAACAATAAGAAACAACAGAACAATGAGACAGAACAAAAAAACTTAAAGAATGGTTCGCTAGAAAATAATTTTTTAATCCTTTAAAGCCCAATGGTAACCATATGTCCCACCCTCTTCAATAATCAATAAATTTTCATTTTGTAAACAGCGATTATTTCTTTAAACAGTGTCAGCAAGATGTTTCTTGCAATGGTGAACTGTTGTGTTTTCTTATCGGTACGGACCGACTTCTTAAATATTATTTATACGAGCTTCGGCTTGAAATGGTTAATAACTAAGAATGTGTGTCAATATTTTCCAGGAAGCAATGCCATTAAGACTGAAGGAGGTTCACATTGTTAATCAACCATTCCTGTTCAACATGGTATGGCAAATGTTCAAACCCTTCGTTAAGGAAAAGTTGAAGAAGAGGGTAAGTGATGAGAATGTGATATATAGCACAGAAACATGTGTTTATCTTAGATGATAAAGCCGCTTTGTCTCAATGAGTGACGCGCATGGCTTCCTCGACTTCACAGACATGGAGGCTGTACAACAAGACCTAATTTTACATTTAATGGTTATGATCGTCTGGTGATTTTAATATCAACATCATGTCTTGTAGTTCTTGTGAATTCATGAATTCTGACTTTGAATTTCAGTTCCACACACACTAGAAGAGAAACCATTACTAATTCTGTGATTCCAGAAATATTGCGGCTATCAGAAATTACTATGTAATAAAACTGTTATTCGTGTAGGAAAATTTAATTTGAGAAACAGATTATCGACAAGCTAGTAATTATAGTTAACTTTAACCCTGTCTACTCTATACACTGCATAATCTAATTAGTGATATGGATATATTTGGAATGTGGGGAGATCAGCGAAAGAGTTTGTATGAATATTTAAACTGAAGCTAACACGAAAGTCTTTTAAGCAAAGAAATTTATACATTACTATGAAAATACACCAACAGAAGAAGGTTAACTTATATAAATTCAGGCTAGAATCGGTTAAAGCAAAATACTAGAAAAGTGTTCATTAATAGTAAAATTTAGGCAGTTGTGTTCTACTTGGAACTTGTTTTTCATTTTTACTTGTTATAAACTGTAAAGTAAATTAAAATTTCAGGGGAAGAAGGTATTACAGATCCCGTGTAGACAAAGAAAAAGAAGAAGGAATAATTTTAGAGACGAAAATGTCTTAACGTTAATGAAAATTTAGCTTATAACAGAATTATGAATTATAAAAATGTACAATAAACATAAAAGAAAATAGTTGTATAATATTAAATGAAAATGGAATAATAAATTTAATTATAAATTATCAGAAACTGTAAAGAAGGAATAAATCATAGCTACAAGAGGAGGTATTTCACAGCACAAGACCAGCGCTAATAGATTTAGTTATCTTGAAGTAGCAAACTGCAAAATCTCAATGTTACAATCTTCTGCATGTAGAAGTCAACTAAATAAATGATCTGATACGGTTTGAAATACAACTTCTATAATTTAAAATGTAATTTCTTATGCGCACAGTTGTTCTTCCACGGAAAGAAAATGGAGTCGCTCCATGAACACATTGATCCATCGTACCTGCCTGAAGATTATGGCGGTAAACTTCCCAAAATCAATTATTCCAGCGTGGAATGGTATCCTGTTCTGAGGACATTGGACGATGATTTTAAGGGTAAGAACGGAATAGGGTTTACTTATTTTATTTATTCGATTCGCATTAAAGAACTTTTATAAGGTAACTACAGGAAAATAACACTTGAAAAATTCAGGATAGAGATGGGTCTTTATTAGCAACTGTAATGTCTTACGAATAGTCCTTCGCGTTATGTAATGCATTGTGATTATGTTCCATACGTAGAAGGGAGTTCATAAACACCGATTTCCCGAGCTTCATTTTGTATCAGGGAAGAATTTAAGATTGTGCTCCAATTTTTATGAAGAATTGCCCAATAAATCCTGTACAAAACAAACCACCTCCGTAGGTCGTCGTCGAGCGGTTAGCAGTCCTGCTTCGTATTCGGGAGGTCCTGGTCTCAAATCTCGGCCTAAAGACCCGCTATCCTGACTGGCTTCCATCCACGCAAATGCCTTATACAGTAACTCAATAAATAATTGTGATTCCAGAATGGAATTCCTTTGGAGTCGTTGAGAAGAAATGAAGTGGAGAAAACGTTGCGACCTTCATTCAAGTGGCTATGGACAAAGAAAACAGAGATATATGCAGAATCATCACTCGCATGACTCCCATTTGCAACGCCAAGGTCATCTCCACTTTGACACACTCACAGTGGCTTTGTTTCATCTCGAAATTAAACGCCTCGATTTACCGTGTTTTGAAATTTCTGTAAACTTAGAATTTTAATATTTCAATACCGGTAATATTATTGTAATTTTGTAAAACAAAATTTTAATGAACACCATCGACGATTACTTCAAGGACATTTTCATGTTACACTTTATTGTGCCTTTCTTATAGCCTGGTAAAAATAAAATAAATTATATGACAGAAGAAGAGAACGAAACTTGAATAATATGTAAGTTATGAATATCCTGATACTTATTTAATAGCTAACCATGTTTAGTAAGTTTTGGGAACAACTGGGTTAGAATACGAGGATTTCTAAAGAAGAGATTACGTCGTCACCACCAACTATTAAGAGAACCAATGTAATATAGTAGACAGCATAAAAAGTGGGTCCAAGCTTTGCATTTGTTGAACAAATAAAGGGGGTTTCCTGGAAGAACTTGTAAAATCATTTCTTAAACGTTTCTTCCTGTTAAAACCAGCCAGTGAAATTTGCAAATAAATATTTACACAACTAAGAAAACCATTGTGTGCAATTTCCGTTGACATATCTACACATTTTCTGAAATGTCAGATAGCACGGTTTAAAGATATTAACCACAATAAATATCATTTGCATTTTCCTCACACGCCCATACATCTGCAATTCATGATCATGCCTTCAATTAGCATATACCCTATAATTTTAATGGGAACCAGAGAAAATTAGGAGAGTAACAAAGAATGAGATAATAAAGTTCAGTATAATCGAAGAATACGTACACTGGCCTCTGTAAATGGAATATAACCTATGATGTCCTGTTCATCATAGCCACATGATTAGGCAGGACATTGAACCCACTGAATAAAATACGGATGTGGGCAAAGGAGTGAGTGATACCTGACCCGGTCACTGCTACTCACGAGTTTACTGGCCGGAGCACACCATACGGCGGGTGACAACAAGCAATATTAACATAAGAACTTTACAGATATTAAAAAATACTTGGTACGAATACTGTGATTTTACGGTAGAAATTTACCTTCACTGAATTTTTGCAAATTCATTATAGTCTCGTTTTAATACTATTTAACCCGTCCCTTATTTTGTGTGAAGAGTATATTAAAAGTTTTATGAAATAAAATACTTATCTAAAAATGTGTCTGTAAGATAAATTCTTATCTGGAGTCATTTATGCCTTATTAATGTATTCAGCACAGAAAACTTTAAAAAAAACATTTCATGTCTTTGAAACGTGTATGCTGTTGTAACTCCGTCGATCTTAAAAAATTCTTTCGATATCGTACTTTGCCAAATATGGTACGATTAACACTTTTCACGGTATGAAACAAATATTTTATTTGGAACAGTGGTCATGGACTCTGAAAAGACTGCGAGAAGTAGTTCTTCTCTTCGGTCCTTTACAAATGTTGCCTTGTTAACAATTGCATCTAAGTTACCACTTGCACATGCAAAGAGAATACGACGCCTATGCTAAATAAATCTCAAGATTTTGTACGAAACCCATTCAGATATTAAAAGTTCTTACCTTAAAGAAATGAACACGTCTACATTACTAAGAACAAATGATTAAAATGTTGTTTGTGGAAATAACAAATGTATAAATAGAGTAAATAGGAAAGGTGCAAAGTTATATAATGTTAAAGCAGGTCGTTTATTTATTAAACAAAACACGCGCTACATAGGCCTGATTAGGAATTAATTTCGAAATTTTAACCTTCGTAAAATTTGGTAAGGCTGCTATATTATTTAATCAATGGAGCGCAAGGTGTTTTACAGGGCAACGCAGAAACTGCCTCCTACGGAATTCGAACTCACGTTCCCAGAGTTTGTATTGTCAGAAACCTCACGCGCCATAGACAACACGGCCACTGGGATTGGATTCACTTAAATCTGTTGTACAAAAATGTCTTCAGTTAGAGTCCAATAGTTTTCTTTGCGATGATCAAGTGTGCGAAGTCGATTGGACGTGTCACCATTGTTAAGCTGAAGATTTCCATATGCGATGATGCAACTTAACTTCTATAACAATGAAATGAAATTCGAACGTGGGAAGTTTGAGAAAACACTTACAATCCTTTGTGAAGTGAAAGGGGCCACTGACCTTCCAGCCACTACAAATCGCTCACATCACAAATCCTAAAATAGTATATCTTCAATCTGCATAGAGCAGACATTTCGTAACAGAACATGTACAGAAATGGCTCGTATTGTTTCTTATTGGCCCAATACGCGGTGGTTAAGGTCACAGGAAAACACGTAAATGAGAATTTTCACAGTGGACTCATTATTAAAAATAGAGGTTACTGTCCTGTAATACTTTTATTAGGTACTTAAATAGAAATGTAACAGCATAGGAAAGTCATTTGAAAGTGCTTTATAGACGATGGCCATCGTAGTACATTATTAAGTTTTCCCTGGTCCACCAAGACAGGACACAACTCCGAAGGCGCGAATGTTTCGAAGGTATGCAGTAACACATATATCTGTATCATTTTAAAATACACAAATAAACACGTTTTTATGGCATTTATCACCATGAACCATGAAAAAAATAGGCCTGTCCTTATCTTGTTCTGATGCCATGTTCAATGAAAACTAGCTTGGTTACGTTGTAATTTTACTGTGAGATTGAAGTACATACAGACACACAAATGAATTAACAGAAGAGAAGGAAAAAGTTGACAGTGGAACCACGGTTCCGGAGAATTAGACGTATATACGTCTATACGGAAAGGAAGTTTATATATTGGCTTTATTCTAAATATTTCCTTTATACATGCTTTACAATTGAGTAACGTTTGATTAAGACTTTGCTTATTTAACTTGAATTAGTTACGCTTAAGATGGGTCTATGGTAGCTGAATGTAATGTAAAGTAATGTAATGAAATGAAATGTTTTATAGGTAACAACAATTCTAAGTAAACAGATGACGTTTCCTAGGTAACAACAATGCCGAGTAAACAGACGATGTTTCGTAGGTAATAATAATTTTTCGTTCCACTTTTTCGTTTCCCTTTTTCGTTCCACTTTTTTGCCGAATGACCCTTCCTTACAGACGTATTTACGTCAAAAAGTACTGCAGTGTTTAATACTTTTCTTGTTCCTGTGTTTGCAGATTACGTAACTAAATACCCTTGACACCTAAATAAACTTCTCCCCCTCCTTACACTTCTCTGTTTCTTCTACTTCGTCCCGATGATTTTATAATTATTTTAATCATCATCTGTCACGCAGATTCAATGTTCACGGCCTTTCAGCTACGTACTTCCTACACGCAATATTCTCTTAATCTCCATTCCTGGTTTTCTAATTCTCTAACTTATTTCCACAAAATGGACGTAAGGGAAATCGGGCTGGCCAGTTTAGAATGAAAGCGGGATATATTGAAATTTAATACAAAGAATTGCATGACTATTTGAAGGTATCATTAGCTTCTGAAGGGCTCTGCTCCAGAGCGCTATTTACTTGGCCAATTTTGTATATCATAGTTGTTGCAGATCCCATCGTCTTGCATTGTATTTACTCAATGCTGGTGTACAGATCTGCAGTGCCACTGGTTATTATTTTAACAAAGGTAAAAGCGGAAATAAAATGGATCTTGTGCTCACATTGTCACCATGGCGAAAACATTCTTAACCTCCGAACAAATTCTTACAGAAGTGTTTTAAAATTATTCTACTCACTTGTCTTTCATTTCCAAAATATTTCGTAGCCAACTCAATGGAGAAGAGTTGCTTTTGAGAATCTAATGGTTGCTCAGCTAGTCCAGAAATTCCGCACCTGTTGTGGGATTCGAAATTTCCGTACTGTGCGAACAAGTACGCGCCAGAATGTGTTTAACCACACCTAATTTGTATTTAGGAAAAGCAACGTTAATGAATAAACGTGATTTTGACCTAAAATACGCGGATGCGTAAGACGTGACTGGGTTCAATAAAGAGCTAAATATCATCTTGTGCCTAAATACCACACCATAAAGACTTAAGGGATGGCGAGTTGGTGGGGCCTGGAGGGGGAGATATGCTAAAGCTCCAAGCATTATTTGTCCTACTGCACGGTAGTGCATCCAATTTTCAGGGCTTGTAGAACGAAACGGGAAACAGAAAAGCGAAAGTGAGAGAGGAAAAACAAGTTCCATGATAAAATCACTTTCAAGCAGTCTGTCGCATCACTTCTACCGTATCTGTTATTGCCGACTAATACCTACCTCTTCTGAGGTCTATCGCCTTTTGAAATGAAGGTCGTTATGTGATGCTGGAAGTTGTTCCAGTCTCAAGACACATTCCGATTTCTGATGACGTCACATAACTTGTTAGGTAAGCTAGTCCAGTCCTCGCAGGTAAGTGTGTACAGTCTTTTAGTGATGCCGCTGGTTCTCAGTTCTTGCTGAGTGTTGGATGGTGCAGGATGGCCGAAGAACTTCCTCCGCCATGTGTTCAGATTGGAGAATACGTCCTCCAATTCGAAAAAGAGGAGATGGGAGCAGAGTTTGAGGAACGGGCCAGAAAGGAGCTGCGAGAGACACCGGAGGTTGGAAACGATGCCATAGCAGCCCTCAAGGATTTACTAAGAGGTGAGGAACCACGCACCGTAATGTATGAATTGCCAATTCCTAATATGTTTTCTTCTCTTTGTTTACGTAACACCGTGACAAATTTGTTTTAAATATTATCGTAATGCCTTGTCACTGCAGTGCTCAAAGGACCAGGGGATTAATTACGCATATAACGTGTTTAAACCTAAAGAGACTCATGATCAAATTTTTCTCGCCAGTCTACATTTTGTTCTGAAAGTATACACAGGTCTACTATCGGATGTTTGCAGGACAGCACCGAGAACATGATTACCGCGGCTACTGACAATATTACAGGGTGTTTAAGAAAGGATAGTTGGCAAAGGTTCGAAATAAAAATACCGTGCAATTATTTTAGCTTGAAATATACGCCAATTGCTAATCATGTGCCGTGAGGAATTTGTTATGTGACCAGTTCTGGAAGTCTCATTTCATTCTGGTTTGCTCGTTCTTGAGCTTAGTTTAACCAGTCAGCTGTTTTGATCTTCACGTAAATTTAAAGATAAAGTGTATTCTTAAGAGTCCTTGTACATGGATAGATTGTAATAGCTTAGAAGATTTCTTTTATTATTGCAATTTCGAAACTGAAGGTGATGGTGTACAGGTTTAAATTTTCACCACAGCGCATACGTGTGGAAATTCATAAATTTAAAACAAAATTTCGGACCGTCCATATAAAATGTTAATCACATCTTTGCGTTTCACAGAGGGTTATGTGTACGTGTACAGATTATGTGATTTAAGGCGAGATGGTGACTTGATGGAGCTGCAGCGTTCATCCGTGGATATTCCTGAAGCATAGCAATAGAAGTGGTTCGAGGCATTGTACGTCCTGTACCACTTTCAAATTCAGAATTTCTCTGCTCACTTGTTGGTGTTCTCGACAGCGGACAGCGGACAACGGAAACAACCAACGAACTGTGACTATGTTCCACTGCATAAATCGTGTCGACCTTGGTTTGAACTTTCCACAGAGATGGAAAGTCTGCTTTCCGTATCGTCTGTTCAAATAAATTTCGTTACCGGCTGTTCTGAAACAACGGTATCAGTTGCACATGCAGGCAAAAAGCGAGGAACGCGTTAATCAAAGATGTGTCTTATGAAAATTAATTCCTCATTAATATGGAGACAATATTGGTAGAATATAAGGTTTCCTATGTAATTCACTAATTTACAAATAACAAATGAAAATACTTATTACATGTATGTACATACACATGCATTTATATACGCTTATTAGGTTGAATAGTAATGGATTTTAAATAAATTGAAACAATGAAAATAAATATAGAGTTTAAAGAAAACAATGATCGAAGAACAACTGAAAACGAGGTTGTCATTTTCCATGTATCACAGGGTTCCAAACATACGAGACATCTGACTTTTCTTATGTAGTTGTAGCGAATATCCTTTAAGCGTACTAAGAAAGAGATCTAATAATTTTTCACAGGCCTAAAAGTAGATTTTAGATTACAGAATACGTGCTTACGAAACTGTTAATATTATGAACACTTTCGGGATCGGTGCATGTGTCATGTTAATATTAAAAAAAATGTCTATTAGAGCAATTCTAGTATGAAATGCGTTATAAATTGAAATAGAGACTTTCGTTTGAAGTTTCCTGTCTTCTGGGTTGTTGCGCTGTGTAGTCTGGTAGGAGTTCACTAACGTTTCAGAGGTCATACTGCCTCCGTCATCAGGGCGATTCATCGCCTTCATCGCCCTGATGACGGAGGCAGTATGACCTCTGAAACGTTGGTTAACATCGAAAAGACTACACAGCGCAGCAACCCAGAAGACAGAAATCTTCATACTCATCGCCCTGATGATGGAGGCAGTATGACCTCTGAAACGTTGGTTAAAATCGACCAGACTACACAGCGCAATAACTCAGAAGACAGAAATCTTCATACTCACCGCTGTGAAAACCTCAAATCTTACAGACTTTTGTTTATTGCAGATGACAAGGAATTACTGTTTCCATTGGATGATGAAAATATGCTTCGTCCATTCTTGCGCCCATGCAAGTACTATCCTGAAAGCGCATACGAAAAGGTAAGTGGTCAGGAAATATCCCCAAAATTTGTTAATCGGAAGACGGGTTTGAAATGCTCGGAGACGGTGTGCTTCACCCAAACATACACACGAGTCCCGAAAGATCATGACGTCATATTCATCGCCGAGAGAATCTCAAATCTCACATAATTTTTCTTGTTTTATAAGGGCATGAAATTTCGTCTCTTGCCGTTAGAGAGCACAGAGAAAGGGTGTTTGTGAGAGTGGTACTGAGAAGAACATTTGGACCAAAGATGTAACAGATAGATGAAGAAAGTTACGAATAACGAGAATGCTAATAGTTTATACTCTTCGCCAAATAATATTAATAATTAAACAAAGGAAAAAGATTTAGGCGTGCCATGTAGACGATTATAAATGCTTATAACGTATTGCGTTATGGGTTGAGCTAACCAGAGAGCATTTTCTAACTTCCAGTAACATCACGCGGCAGATGTGAAAATCATACACTAAGTGAGTGACAACTGTTTTCTAGTATGGCTTAAGTTTTCTTTCTTACGAGACACTTCATTTCTGCTCCAGATGGCTGGATTTGAAAGCGAAAGTTTTAAATGTAAAAGATTTCATACTTTGGTATAGAGCTCAAAGTAAAATCCCAATGGTAACTCTATATCCCATCTGCTTCAACAACTGATAATTATTTCTTTTGCATTTATGGGTTAAGTATCATTCTTACTGTAAACAGTAATTATTTCTGTAAACAGCGTTAATTAGCTGACTTGCGTTTCCCATACAAGGAAACCACCGAGAAAGACAAAGATTAACATGCAAAAAATAACAAATGCAAACATAGTTTACGTATTTAGGAAGTGACAAGCTTAACAGCGATTGGCTAAACTGTTATGTTACCATCGGAAGTGATGGGACACGCTGTCGAATAGCAGTGGAAGTTCTACCACGGAATCAAGAGTGAAAGTCTTCTGACACACGTAACGTAAGAAGCCGTTAGTCGTTCCACTAGCCACAGAATTAAGCGACTTCTGAAGAACCTGAAGTTTCCTTAGTCTACCGCAGTAATAACCTGCAGGTAACTTTTTTTTTCTTATTTCCAATTCCTCTTTCTATGACATTACAGTTCAGAAGGCGTGTCAGTCTCTACTGGCCAAAGTTGATCGCGGGCAGATAATAATCAGGAAATACACAGGAAAAGACCTTGAAAGAAGAAATACTTTCCTGGAATTTCCGGACAGTCTGAGGAAAATCGCAGAATTATTTCTTTACTATCATCATTGAATACCACAGTTAATCAGAAAAGTGCCAGAAATATGACCGTTATCACGGAAAAGGGTTAACGTTTACTGCTTATTTTGCATTAAACGGTAGCATTACTTAGAGAAGTCACTAGTTGAATAATACGAACAGATTGAAGAAACCGAATTCAAACCGTCCAGTGTTTGTGACCAACTAGTTTTGCATTTTTCAGATGAAGCTGTTCTATAAGTTCAGGCTGAAGAATCCAAAGTTTTATGACGAACTACTGCCCAATACGATAAAGAATACCATATTACAAGACGTTCTTACAATATTTCCTCTTCGAAGTCAATTTGGCAGAAGAATCTTCCTAGTTCATGTTGGTAAGTTTCTGTGATACTTCAAAACGAAGAGAAATATTAATGTTCTTATGATGAAAGTAACTGGTTAAAGACTGGACGATCAGATATTTTCCTTTGCTCTGTATACCAGGGCCAAAGCAGCTGGAACATTACGTCTTTAATTAATTTTCATCTACTGTTGTCGTACACAAGACCTCTGAATCCACTTTCCCCGTTCCCCTTCATGACCCGTAGTACATAGACTATCGTAACTTTTTAACTTTTGTATCAAAAATGATAGTATAGTGAATAATAATTTTTAAACATTAACGAGATACAATGTGAGACGGAGGTTATCCACATATTTGCATACTACAAAGAATCTGTTCGGATGACGTGACTTTTTTTTTCTCAGTAGACTTTTTAACGACTCTGAGGACCTCTGCTACTCCACTACTTATTCTACAGTTTATCAAAACTATCGCATCACATACATACAACACGTATCCTACATGAACAATAGTGTTTATGTTGTGGAAAGCTTTAAGCATCTGAAAAATGTTCTCTGTGTACTTACAGGAAAGTGGGACGTAAAAAAACTGTCGCTGACCGACATTGTCAGATGCGTATTCTTGTTCGTAGACATAGCCATAACAGAGCATCGCACTCAGATCAGTGGCGTGGATGTGATCTTCGACCTGGAAGGCCTCAGCATTCAGCACATCTACCAAATCGGCCCCTCTTTCGCGAGTAACATTCTGCATTGGGCTCAGGTAAGTCATTCTGGGTATAAAGTTCATTTTTACCTCGCCATTTTTCAGCATGGCTCATGAAAAATAAACTAAGCATTTGCTTTTGTATCTGGGAATCTAAGCACGATAGAAGAATGGCGACTCGATCAAAATGGTTTGCTTCGGTGTAGAGATTGCAGGATAAAGGTCACAAACCCAAAACTGTACTGGGTTTGAGTCCCGGTGAAGATGTTTGGATTAGGCGATAACAATTTAATAACAAGCTTTCAATAAAATTAACAAGAAAAATATTACATGTGGAATTCCCGTGCAGTTACACTGCAGGTACTCTGCTAGGAACTTAATAAAATTAATGAATTACTTGATGCTGAATTATATACAAGATATTCACACTTTTTCATGCCTTGTTTTGTCCAAATGGGTAAATTTAGTATCTAGACTGCCTGTTTAGGAAATATAAAACGTGACAGAGCACTGTCATGCAGTGAACTGTGATTGAAAGGGTGTCCACGAAGATGTGTACAGTTGCTAGAACACCGTAAGCTCGGAAATTAGAACAGAAGAAAGGCACACTGGCACAAGGCGCAAGATGAATAAAGAAAAGCAGAAAATTCTCTCCAAGTCCAAAACATATTTTCCAAATTCGTTATGTCGTGAAGATGGATGTCTTCTAGATTGTTGCGCCGTGTAGTCTGGTAGAAGTTTACCGATGTTTCAGAGGTCCTTACTGCCTCCATGATCAGGGCGGAGGCAGCAAGGACGTTGCTAAACTTCTACCAGACTACACGGCGCAATAATCCAGAAAACATCCATCTTCGGACTCACCGCTTTGAAAACCTCAAATCCTACTTCGTTCGTTCGTTCGTTCGTTACTTTGGTGTGCTGAAGATGCAACACTGGAAGAGTGAAGGGACTTTTTTATCACAAACATATGTATGATAGTTGTTATGAATCATGTGCAATATGCCCAATTCTTTTCTTTTCTTGTTTCAGGATTGCGTTCCACTAAGAATCAAGGGTCTCCACATTGTGAACCAACCCTACATATTCAACATGCTGTTTGCAATCTTCAAGCCCTTCCTGTCAGTGAAGTTTCGAAAAAGGGTAGGAACTCCGTGAGACTCAAGTTCTCTAGGCTGTCTTTATTAATTTTTGAGTTTTATGAGAACAATACAATATAGTAATGGTTAAAACAACGTTTTAAAGGAATTTGCCATCACATTCTTCATGGGAGTAGCAAACTTTTGCGAAAACCCGGGAATTTTTAGCCATACAACGCAGAGGAGAGTATAATAAATGAAGGACATCTCATTTATTTGCACCTGGTAATAATTATAAATCGTTCAGCTATAATATTTGTTAATTGATAAGGGAAAAACGAGTAGAGTTACAAACTGTACATATAGTCCCAATTTAAGGAGATCCTGCATTTTGTGTGTTTCAGATATATTTTCACGGCAGAAACTACGAATCGCTTTTGCGCCATATTGGCGCAAAGTATTTACCGAAAGAGTACGGCGGGACAATGGACCTTCCGCAGGTTAACAGGATGGAGTTCTATCAGCTACTGTGCATGTATAAAAACGATTTTGAAGGTGAGCCTTATGAAGTTCATAAACAGTGGGTGGCTTCTGTTCAGGTCGTAAAGGTCCCCAGGCTCACCTAAATAATGTTTTGAAATTCAGTTCGTACTTCAAAGAAATCACACTGCTTCTCTATTACAAAGATAAATTGTTTAATTCTGCCTATAAAAATAATAGATTTTTATTTTAACACTTGACCGAAACACGTAAATACACTCTGTGGGCAGAATGTAGAGTCACTAAACGTTAAAACAGACGAGACGTGCTCCTGTACTTTAAAGGGTTAGAAACGCGTTGTAAAATAGAACTTTCTGTTCAAAGGCAGCTCGCCCACGTGTTTCGTCCGTGCTTCTCGTGACCTGCATGAACTGGTTTCAGGTACACTCCTAGAAGTGGACTTTCACGATCTTAGCCACATCTTGTTGCCTGAGATTATCTAGTAGTCAACAAAAACTCTTGCCACCAGACAGTAACTTTCTACATCGTAATATCCTGTTATAAAATTGTAACATGATAGACTTCTTACATTATAATAGCTTTCGCGTTTATTTCTCTTATTTTTACAGAAGGGAACAAGTACGGTTACGAGAAAACGACCAAGTGACAAGACGATATATATATAATGTGCAGATCAACCAACGTTAACGTTGACGTATGCAATATTAAGCCAGAAAAAGAGGATTTGTAACACACCACTTGCAGAGGCCAAATATTCCTTCACCGGGTTAATATCTGCAGAAATTCAGTTGCGTTTCTAATGCAACACACGTTGTGTGTGTTACTGCAAGGATTTCTCGTTTGATATCAATTAAAGTACTACATAAAAGGAAAATATCAGGCTTAACACTGTAGTAGAAGATGAAGAAGGCTCATCACCGATGTACCAGTCTGCCATTGTACACAGTCCTAAGCCAGATACATCTACCTCATAACCCATCGCCGTAACATCTTTCCTTATGTTGCACCATCTCTTTTTACCTTGTTCCAGGTGTGTTGTTTCTCAGGGGCTTTCTCCACCAAAATTCTAGACAAATTAATTTTCTAGCTGCATGCTCAAACCATCGTAACATTTATGTATTTAAACAATACGATTGATTAGGCACAATGTGTTGTAATGATTTATTTTGCTCAAGTATGAACCTATCATGACATTTAACTGAAGTGTATTGTGTGAATTAAGTAAAACAGAGATCTTTTTAAAGAGAACTTGTAATATGCATGATTGTTGGTTACATTACGTTGTGCGCAGATACGGAGCCATGATGATCACGCATGCGCATACGATTATCGCTAATGGCGTCCTACAGAACCAGAAGATTCATCACGGTGTTAACAAAACGCCGACAGTGAACCCCCATCCTTAACCAGTTGAATCCAGCCCACTTTCTTACACCCTTCTGTAATATTAATTTTAACATTATCCTCTCATGTATTCCTGGGTATCCCATAAGATTTCTTCTCATTAGACCCGAGTAAAATTTTGTATGTATTTCTCACTTATAATGCGTGTTACTTGTCCTGCCTACAGACTGAAATGCTTTCAATCATATTTATGATCTAATACCGTCTAAGTTAACACACGCACAGAAACGTTTAATTTCACGAGACCAACAATGCACGTACGTAATCGACTAACCATCCATCCAGTGATTGAGGTTAGGTCTTTCAAACGGACCCGAGTAGCCGGTCATCTTCAACAGTTATTACAAATTTACAAGTTTTTTATGATCCAATGTAAATGTACGTCATCGTACTGAAATAACTGACTTACACATCAAAGGTTGAATTAAAATAGTTTTAGGGTTACTAAACTTGTATATGGACTCCATATCTAGTGTCCATTAGATGGTTTAGGTACATTAGAACCCGTCTTGAAAATGTAAGAACATATTTCTTTACCTATTGTGGTACAGAGCGTAAAAAGACGACTTATATATTTCGGCTTTCGTAAATATAAAACATTTGAAATGCGTACAATTATAATATGAAAACACCAACAACTGCAACGGCCCTACCCAAATTCAACATATAGAAACCACAGGTTAAAGAGGACGTGATAATAAACGTTTTGAGGAAATTACACACAGAAACGTCGAACAGTCTTACCTCATTCAAAACTGTATCATGCAGCGATTACAGGAAACAGAATTCACCAATGAAACTCCGCACGACCGATGTCTTCCGGCGCTGCTTAACAACTGCAGAAAGGCAAGTGCAATCAGCTGACGGGTATCGATACTGTTAAAATCGATTAGATCGTAACCGATTCATGGCAACCCTTGCCAAAAGAAAGAGGTATTAATATCGATCTATTTTTAACTTGTTGAAATGTATTTTGTCATTGAAGAAAACCATATGTGCAAAGAACTGCCGCTCACTTTTATCAAATTTATACCGACCGGCATTCCACGAGAAAAATCTCGCTAAACAGTAACTGGGCCGAGCACGAATCACCCATAAATATATGTTCCCGTTAGTTCTATACGCGCACAGAAAGCCAAAATTTCCTGTCTCAGGAATGACGTAAAAACCTAATAACTGTTCCATACTTCTAGGTTTTTACACACTTATGATCCATTTTAATATTATCCTCTTAAAACATAAACTGAGCTTCTGACTTATCATTATGTATACTTTCGCTGTAATGAAGGACTGGTATATGCGGGGTTACCCATTTGACTTTCACCTAGAAACTTCAGGAGACTGTGATTCGGCACTTTTGAAGTAAACACACACCCCCCCCCCATGCCAGTCCCAGAGTTACAGGATATTTCATAAAGTGATGCTAAATTTTCCCATCTTTCGTAGAGTATTTTGTAAGATTTCCTGGGCCAGGTCATGAGCGTTCCTACAGACGCACATGGCACAATCTGCAGGTCTGTTTGACCCGGAAGCCAAGTAATGGACCACGTTTCTTCGTGGTGGTCACAGAATACCAAAGACCAGCATGATAGAGCTTCACTGCGTTGTTCTGAACAAAAGCTTGGATGAAAGTGTGACGTCGAAAGTTTCAAAAAAGATTTTCGTCTTTTAGGTTATGTTCAAATCTTTTTGCATCGACATGCTTTTATTAACACTGGCATTTTCAGTTTGTATTCTCTCGTTTAATAAAATAAGTACATCCTCATTAGATTTATTTAAAGAATTATATTGTAATGAACAACAGAATGTATACATCACATTACATTTGTATATAAAAACAAATGCATAACAAATTTATCTTGTGTATGTACATACATATTTCTAAGGATAAATTCGTATTATTTACTATTTATTGAACATTTATCAACGCAGAAAGAGAACGTATTGCAGAACTGGATGAAAGGAATATTGAAAATATAAATTTTGTAACACATCAGTTGAATTATAGAAATTTACCATCGTATATTTCACGTTTTTAAGACCATGAATTATTATAGACGAACTTTAGTATGATTTTATGCATTGCGTAACATTTTTTAAAACTGGTTATCGTACTACGATACTACAACAACAACAAAAATAACAAACCAGGATGAAACAATTAAAGCAAAAATATGTAATTAATCAGTGAGTTCATTAAGAAAACTCGATAGTTAAACCAACGGTTCCCACTACAGAATTGTATTTAAGATGAGATTGGTAAATTGTGTGGCCTTGTATGCAAGGGAAATAAAATTTTGTATTAGGGCACATTCCCAGAATGTTCTTTCGTGTTTAGAATTCCAGGAACCATATTACGTTTTTTTTGCATACATATTATTCGCGCCAATTTTCAGAATTCCACGTTGAAAATATCTAAATTATTACGATGCCAATTACTTACTAAACGAGACTGTTTCGATAAATGTGGCAATATTTTCGTATTAAAAATGCAATATTTTGAAGTCTGAGCCAAGTAAAGAACAGTCTGAAATGTTTACTCACGAACAACAATCTCTTTAATTTGACAGCCACATATATTTAGAAACAAAACTTATTTCAAATAAATCTACTGGTATTAAAATACTTTGTAACTTAATCCCTGGTCCTTTCTACTACTCTTTTAAGTTGCGTAATACAAGAGAAAAATTCTAACACATAAATTAACCCACTCATTCCCGTATGTAAAATAAATCTTTAATTACACTTCAAATTAAAATAAATGTATAAAATTCTTCGTATTTCCATCAGATGGCAAACACAAGAAACGGTCCCTATATTTTGTGAGTAAACGAGATACGAAATTCCGCGTCATTAATTGAACAGGAACTGGCTCGGATTATCACAAGTAATAATGGCACTTGAAACAGATGCCCATAAAGAACAGATGTAGAGACGAGATAATGGTAAACTAATTTTAACCCACACAGCATAATAGAAAAATTTTCATCAGTCATACGCGAAAAGTTTTCGAATGTAATGTACAGCGCTTTCTGTTCTGTACTCCACCATTACAGTTCGTGTTAATACGAATATTGCACGATATAGAATATTGGAATGTAAAAATACTTGGAATAATGCAATATTTTGTGTTACCATTTGGAAAAACTTGTTCTGCGTATACTGAAATTTGACGAGTAACATACGGAGATATATTGCTTGAAGGATCTTATCTATGGATCGGAATGAAGTCACGACTAATTCCTCATTTTCCATATGAACTCCTTACAAATAATCAACTTCTGAAGGGAAAAAAGACTTTAATGATAATGTTCTTCGGGATTTTGGTGTTGGTCGGCATATGCCAGCGTTTCAGAGTAATAAACCATCTTCCTGAATAAGGAGATATATTTCTCTGAAATGACGGCATCAACTCCGGTCACGTGGAGCCAAAACCCCGAAGAACGTCGTCATTATAGTCGCCACCACGAAAGCTTTAAATCTCGCAACAAATTACTTCATCTCCCTTTACTGCTTACTTCTTTGACTCCACATCCTTCTTGTAGCCATAAGAGTTGATGGCTGTGAGAGAGAAAAATGTTAATTATTATCAGTTTTGCAGACATTTCGGGTATAAAAGAAAAAATATGTCTCTTAATAATAAAAGATAATCGATATTTGGATATACAAGCAGAAGGACATATTCACATCTACGTGAATTATTTCTCTGTATTAAAAAGTATTTTTGAGAAACTTTATAAAATTCTGAAATCAAAGTACATCAAAGATGCATCATTTAACGCGTGAACTAAGACGACGACATTTTGAATCCGGATTTCCTTTGCGTAATTTAAGGAATTTCCCTTCTTAACTTGTTCACATTTCACTGGATACAATCAGTATCTAGACTTCATCGCTGTAACAGTTTTTACCGATCCTGATAATAGCAGGAGATTCAAATAGGGGGATTTACTAAGATCAGCAGGATGGCTGTAAGTAATGAAAATTCACGTAACTCGACTTAGACGAGATTTAAACTGGTGACTGTGAATCAAAACAGCAGCACCACAATAATCTGCACCCGCCACAGACAGAACTTAATGTGCCCAATTTTTAATTCTTTCCCTTTCTATACAGAGTTTTTAATTAGGTAGACAATAATGTTCTTAGAATTTTCAGTGACGTAAATATTAAACACGCAGGAGTTTGTTTACGTATACAACAAAGGATGACAAGATTAAAAAAGCATTGTATCACATTCACGGCACAGAAATGGTTAACAGTTGTTGAAGACCAACGACACCATAAAAATTACCTTCATATTCCTTCTCACACTTGGAAAGAATTTTGTACCACTGAAGACCTTCGATGAGTGGCACTTCCAGAGTTCCTCCGTATTGAGCGGGTAGCGACTTTGGGCTTAAGTAGTTGTGCAGGGAGTCGAGGTCATTGCCATGGAAGATGATCTGTACGAACAAGCACACTCTCCTGGACTCACGCAAAATTATCCTTACGCGAGTAGAAATCTGAATATACTTTCTGCATAACTTATGCCTTATGAGTTGTTTTGTTGTGTCTTATTGTTTTGTTCTGTCTTATTTTTTGTTCTGTCTCATTGTTTTGTTGCGTCTTATTGTTTTTTGTGTCTTATTGTTTTGTTCTGTCTCATTGTTTTGTTGCGTCAAATTCTGTCTCATTGTTCTGTTGTGTTTTATTGTAGCTCCACTGCCACCGGGTAAAAACCCATTTGCAGTTAATAATAAATAATAACTTGAAACTTTTATCAATTTTTAGGATTTCTTTAATTTTTTTTTTGCATCCAGTACACACCCTTCAGCATTTTGTGCATTGGTGGTTTGCAGGATTCACGACCCATCAGTACATGGGTTCGATCTGGACCGCGACATTTAACGCTCCTGCTGTGACCCCCTTTTTGCGAGATGATGATGAAAGTGGAGTAATTGTTGGGTTGCCACGGAGAAACCGGGGAAACCCCTTAGGAAAACTCCGTGTTGCCTAGACCACGGCCTTGCCCAACACAAGTTATAAATTCGGGTATCGCCGAGAATCGAACCCGAGACCCCAGGATTACAAGCCCAGCGTTCTAACCACCGTGGCGGATGTATAAAGTGGGATTTCACTGACACGTTCAAAAACTGTTTTTTTAAATTCTTAAAATAATTTCATTTAGCTAGTATTTTTTAAAAATTGCGCTAGATTCTGTAATACCCATACGAGTATCACGTGGTTTAATAAATCAACTTACCCTGCTTCGGAGTTTCTCCCTGAGGAATGGTTTGAAGAGAGCAAACACCATGTTGAATATATATGGCTGTTTAACTACGTGAATATTCTTAATTCTCAAAGCAATTGCGTCCTGTAAGGAAATTATAAAATATTATAGTGCAACCAATGGCTGTGGTTAAAAAAGGATCCTGAAGACATCTGAACTTTTTACTCTCCATATCTCTGAACGAGATATTTAAAATTCCTTTATTTTTCGAAGGCTAATATTGTGAAAATATTTATAAAATTATACAATTTTACCTACAAAATCAACAAATAATTAAGATTAAACTAAATCCAAGCAGATAATTAATAGCACGTGTACGTGAAAGTGTTAAATGCACCGATGCCACATACCTGGAGGAGATCAACAATCCTCTTGGCAAATGGAGGTGTGAATTGCCACACCTGTTGCAGGGAAAGGCCCTCCATGTCAAATATCAGCACAGCTCCTGCAACCTGTGTCTCAGGCTCCAGCATGGCACACTCGAGGAACAAAACACAGCCTCTGTAGACCTCGTCCAACGAAACCTTGTTATGTTTCCATTTCTCTGCGCACACACACACAACCATTTTTGGTCATGTATACTGACCACCTTCTTCAGGGTACACGTCTTGCTATGTGAAGAATTTTTAATATTTTGTCTTTGATTTACAAATCAAATTAAAAATATTTATTTATATAATTTTCTACCGGAATACTTGACACAAGAAATGGGTTAGACGTACATGCAAGTCAGAAATAAAAGACGTAATAAATGTGGTTGAAAATGAATAATGAGTACTGACGTAATGTTCCAAACCCTGATATTGAGACAGAGTCACTCACTTCCTAGTTCCAGTATCAAAATGCGACGACCAAACTGGTCTCTGTACGGCAAAACAGTGAGGATGTTGTGATCAAATATATTCTTATTTTTGCTTGGGACCAGCAAATCGTACACGTTACTATGCTTCTGCTTGAATTGGTAGTACCGCTTCACCTGGAACACGCCAAACACGACGACCTTAATTATTTTCTAGCCTCTGGCGTAACATCCATGTTAACAATTTTAGTCCGGCTAACACTTTGAAAAACTAAATATAGTCTTACTTTCGTTGTTCACTGGTATTCTTACACAGGTGAGCTGCACAACCGATCAGATAAAAATGCATCGTTAGCCAGCTCCGCCCAGCCAGAAACTACAATTACTCATCGCCCTGATGATGGAAGTAACAAATACCTCTGAAACGTCTGTAAACTTCTACCAGACTTCACGGTGTAACAACTCAGAAGACAGCCATGTTCATACTCGCCGCCGTGAGACCCAGAACTCGCATCAAAGTGTATAATTTAATGACGTCTGATGGAATCAAACCATGGTCTGCTAGTTGAAAATGTATACGCCACGGAAAAATACTAGTTTCAGTTCCTTATTATAGAGGGTATGTGAATATCATTGTGGTAAGCGTTGCCTGACGGACGTACTGACAAAAGAATAGCCTCGTTTGCAGTTGTCAGGATTTCCGTCCTTAAGTGAATTAATAGTCACATTCCCGGTGCTCGGTGGGTACCAACATACTACGTCCGCGTTCTGCTGCCACGACACGCAACGTAAGCCTTGCGTCACTGCCGTATCTTCACTTAGGTTAAGCCACGATAATCGTATATTCATTCTTTTTCGGTGAAGTACGAAATTTTCAAACGAAGATTTTTCAATAAAACCGAATGAAAAAATGGCAGAATGACTGGGCGACTTGATTAGGATGTTGAAGACACGATCTCGGCCCATTTCAAGACACTACAACGACGTTTTCTTGGACTGATTGACACTCGGTATATTTAACGATGCTTTGCAACTGCAGTATCTGATCGCCGCTTGTAGATATTCTTACGAGAAAAAGGCATATCGTATGAAACGTCATTATGGTACTTTGATTAATTGATGGCTAACGGGAAGCAACTTACTCTGCACATACTAACGTTTCTTCTTTCGTCGTTATGAACTATATATATAGTTATTTACCTTCTGCGCAGTGGAAAGATACTACAGTCTGCTACACAGTGCTGCCCCAACCGGAGAAACACAATAACAGATTTTCTACTCACCAATTCAAATGCGCTCTCAGGGTAAAATTTGGACGGCCGAAGGAATCGTATGAGCCACGTGTCGCTGTCCAAAGGACATTTGAGGTCTTTTTCCTCTGAAAAAATAAAATATCGTACTCGTACAGATCTGCCAGGCAGATTAAAAAGTTCTGACTGCATAACACTTTAAATCCCACACGTAATTATATGTACCACATTCTTTAACACTCTGTAGCTGTGAATTTAGTTCACGGAGTGTATTTATGGGTTTCATAAAATTTTTTTTTTGAGTGAACAGCGATTATTTCTGTAAACAGAATTAACAAACTGATCTTTGTAATGGAAACAGGAACTGAATCTTGGAATATTATTTATACGATCTTTGATCGGCTTCAAAGGATCGGTTAACATGAACTATTCATTTGAAAAACTTTATGGGGCACAGTCCTTCAGTGAAAGATAACAGTTGCTAATCAACAATAAAGAATCTGAGAATGATCGCTTGGACTAATGTTATTCTACAGCAGTGGTATTCAACCTTTTTTGTTCGCGTACCCCCAGATATAATTTCTCATCCAAATTTGTACCCCCAAAATTGTTGGTGTATAATTCAAGTTATACATAGTATATAATCTACATCTAAAATAAATTAAATAAATTACATTACTGATTAATCATGAAATGATATATAAATATTTTTTTAAATTTCACGTACTCCCTAAGATGTCTTCGCGTACCCCAGATTGAATACCACTATTCTACAGTAATTATTTTGCTATCTACTACAACAAGTTAAACAACTGGCGAAGAATAGAGTTTGCTGGCAAAAATCTGTTATGGCCCAATGTTCCACCTAGGAATAACAGGAAATGATTCAAATAAAGATGAAATTAAAAATTATCTGATACACAGAATAAAATATAGGTGTCGTATAACATGGAACACAAGCTGAATTCAGTGTTGGCCACGCCGAAAGAAATCCTTACCTCGAAGAAGATCTCTGAGTGCGATAACTGCTTCTTTGCTAACTTCAGGCGTCTCCCGAAGTTCTTTCCTGGCTATTTCCTTTACTTCAGGAGACAGGTCGTTTAGTTCTAATTGCAAAATATAATCTCCAATCTTGAGGCTTGGCAGGTCTTCAAGATCCGACAAGAAAGTGTCCTTAACTGTAACAAAACATTAGAATTCAATTCACAGATTGCGGACTGGTCAAGTGTAGTATCCCACAAAAAATATTATGAGAATGGGACAGCGCTGTGGTGTTCCATGTTAAACAACAAACAGAAATTATAATTTTAAAATTATTAATATATTTTTCGATACGGAATGCGCTCTGGTTCGAGTCTCGGGGGAGAAGAATTTTCTCATGAGCTTTCGACTAGTGTATGGGACCGGTGTCAACCCAGCATCGTGAGGAAATTGGGGAGCTACAATGAGTAGCGTAATCCGGTCAGGAAAGCTAGCAATGGCTGGGGGTTCGTCGTGCTGACCACACGTCACCCTATATCTGGTCGGATGATCGTTCACCTCTGCTTAGGCATGTGAACGTGAGGCCAGCAGTCAAGCTAGTCGGCTTTGGCTCTCTGGAGCTGTTACGCCAAGGATTTAATTTTAATTTAATTTTTAATTTTAATATATTTTTCACGTCCCCAAGGATTTAATTTTAATTTAATTTTTTATTTTAACAGATGTTATTATTCAGAAAAAGAGCTATCTATAAGACGAGAAACTGCTTTCTCGGGATCCAGGTTTTAAAAGAAAGAGGTGCAGTAAACACTTTGTGTGTCTGCGCACATTTAAGAACGTCAGTCGGACGAATTAATTACTTATTTGAAAAATGAAGTGTGTCGGGTTGAATTATGCATTCATTAACTTTCCCATTACGCAACGGATCAAGCAGTGAATTTCACTGTGCTCAAGGTCATGTGACGTGTTCTTGTTTCTTTTAAAATGTAAATACGGCAACTTCTGATCCTGTTTTTACCTCCGTCGCTGTGTTGTTCCCAGAAGCCGAACTAATTAGCAGACGTTAAAATACACGCGGAACACGCAGTCTCTATTCGGATAATGTCGCGGGAAGGGGTGGGGGGTGACGTTTGTCGAAGTTGTGTCCCTCCCTTAGTTAATCCAAGCAACAAATATGAAAATGTCTTCTTCAAAGGAATGCGGGAGTCAGGGGCAGAGAACAGTAATGACGAACGATAGGGCGAATAAACTCCTCCACTCCTTTCCCTGACTGATCATCATCATAGTTGTTGCTGTATTTTTCCCGCCTCCTTCTGGCAACTCTGACCTGCGTCGTTGAAATTACTGTCGTCCTTCAGTATCTTGTTTGAGTGTGTATTTGTTTTGCCTCTTTCTTCACCTTTGTATATGGCTTTCAGGTAAGGCCAGTACGTACAATAACTAAACAAAAACTTTCGTACAATAACTAAACAAAAACTTTCGTACAATAACTAAACAAACAATTTCGTACAATAACTAAACAAAGAATTTATTAAAGAATTTACACAAAGTTATTATGGTACTATGACTATAACTTTCCATACAAATGGGTGACTTAGCCGCTGATGGCAGAACAATTCAAATGGAACTTATATAAACAGAGTGTGGAGATGTGGATTAAACTGGCTCGGGATAGATTGCAGTGGCAGGCACGGCAACAAACATTCGGGTTTTATAAAAGTTGAGTAATTCTTGACAATCTCAGCGACCTCCAGGTTGTGAAGAAGAACGCGGGGCTCCAGACAATCGGTTTGGCAAACCGGCTTACAACATAAGGAATCTGTGATGTAAGCTGTCCGTGAACCTTGGAGCAACATTACCTAGCCTTACGCGGGGACAAAAAAAAAATCTTAAAAATGTAAGTAAATTCATCTATACTTTGTTATGTTTTGTACAATTAAATCGGTATTTTTTTCCTGTCTCCGCGGGAATGTGACGAAGTATACAGAACGCTGTCAGCCATCTTGGTAGTCCCACGCTTATGACATACGGTATCTAATAAGAATTACGCTGACTAGTCACTTCCTCCTGTCTTCAACTGTCAATAACACGTGAATTGCAGGGATCACGTCCTGACACAGCGCTTCTGTTGGAGTCAGTATCACATCCCTCGAATCGCAATGTCCTCTTGTACCAAAGAACAATGGCGTCTAGTATCATCATATCCGATCGAATTTCCATCAGTTGATTCCGTAGACTTTACAGGGGTCAGATGGACATTTTACCATAGGAATTCACTTTCTTGGAAGGAAACAGTTAACAGCAAGTTACTTTAGACCAGCACATCTAAAATTGTGAGCCAACACAGAGACATTACCCACATTTTGCGTTAATAATCGGCTTACAAATTTCAAAATTATTTAACACGAAAACGTAAATTTTGTGTTTTTTTTTTTTGATTTTCGCCTGACCTACGATTACGCTGCATTTATTTCAAAACGACTTAAATCACCCATTTTTACTCTGCAACCCTGAAGCAAGGTCTATCTTACCTTGATCAATGTTTTGTTTATGTATTACATACAAGGAGCACATATGTGGAGACTTTAGTCATCATAAATGGTCCAAGAGTTGTACAGGAGTTGTATCAATTGTCAAAGTTTCCTTGTTGCCTGGTCTGTATCGTTCTGACTTTGAAGTTAGTGAATAATCCGTTAGCATCACTTTAACCATTACAGTTTCCAGACTTAGAAAGACGTTCTGAAGAATGCAGAAGGTCACTTCACAAGAGCAGAAGTGACATGTTCGAGAACTAAAGCATCAAAGCATACTGACTCTTATGTCAAACACTGTTTTGTGTCCCACGGATGAAGTAGTTCCTAAAAGTTAGAGACAGCATGAATTAAGAAGCTAAAGAGTTGATGAGATTTCAGATTCTCACGGCTGCAAGTCATCATCCTGACGGAGGCAGCGACCACCTCTGAAACGTCGGTAAACTTCTACCGGACTACAGGATACTACAGTCTAAAAGACGACCATCTTCAGCTAAAGATTTCGTCTGGTTGTCTCGATACGAAAGGGATACGTAAACAATGTTTATTAAGTGTTTATTTTCTTAAGCTGTTGTGTGTTTTGCAACAAAAGCCGTGTCATAAGCAATGTTCGTACCTGACTTCTGTTGAAAGACACAGACAATTATATTCCACACACACACACACACGACTGAATCTGTCAACAGAAATTACGTCACATTACTGGCTTCAGTATCTAATTTCGACATTGTTAGAGCAATTACTTAAGACGAACGTCGCTAAAACAATAGATAAAAGTGCTCTTATATACCGCTATGAAAATATTAATCAAGATGCAAATTTTCCCTGAGAATCAAATCCACAGAATGCTTAATGTCCACCAAAAACTTCTCAGTAAAGTTCGCTATCCAGTTCTTATATACATTATATGGTGTTTCTGTACTGCTCCCCCAGTATTGTGAGAGTGATTAAGTCGAGAAGAGTGAGATGGGCGGGACATGTAGCGCGCATGGATGGGACAAGAGGTGTGCACCGGGTACTGGTTGGGAAACCTGAAGGGAAGAGACCGCTGGGGAGACCTAGACGTAGATGGGAGGATAATCTCAGGCGGGATCTATGGGAGATAGGAGTTGAAGGAAACTGGATTTTGTTGGCCCAGGACAGGGTCCGGTGGCGGGCTTTGGTTAATTCGGTGATGAACCTTCGGGTTCGGTAAGCCATCTAGTTAGTTAGTTAGTTATGGTGTTTTAGAACTGCCGATCTAATTTTAAAATAAAGTGTCTTATGTAATAAACACAACTAAAAATAATTACACATCAAGACTCTGAATCTGATCGAAGGAGGCCGAAACAATGAGAAAATAATAGAAAATGGTTAATATATTACATGAAATTGGAAGTTTTGTTATCAGGTGAAATAAATTATTCCCCTTTCAGTTTTATCAGGCATTTGTCGCTAGTATTAGTATAATTTAGAAGCTTCAGTATTTCGCCAGGACAGTTATTCATATAGCAAAATAACAAATATTTTTCTGAACAAGGCTTTATATTTTAATTAATCAAAAACATTACTTCTAATCTAAAAAGTATGCTCTTTGATATGATAAGGACATTATTACAAATACGTTATTAATGTCACGACAAGAAAGAAGTCGATCTGAAAGTTGACACATTGAGAGAAAAAAAACAATGCGATCGAATTTGTAAAATCAAGTACAAATTTCTTGTTCTTAAGTTTCTGTAACCGATAGGGTTCAGACATGTTGTTTATTGAAATTATTTAGCAGAAGATGGACTCTGCAGTTTATGTCTAACAACTTGGATATCGTTAACGCTGGATCAAATCTATACATCGAATAATTCATTCGGTATATTTATATTCTCATCGTGCAAGAATGGAAGAACGCGTTTCGGAACTCTGCCATAGACTGTCAACTGTTCGTGCTGGGAATGCGAAGTAAATACTAAAATAATAGCCTGGTTTTCCCTTGGCTATTCTTGGTAATTTATATCTCTTTTACAACGGCCTGCTTACATCTTAGGAAAGGTAATAAGTTAAAGTAATATTTTGAACCACAAGCTACTTCTATACGGAATGTTTTTTAAACTTCAAATTAAATCGTAACTGAAATGCAAATAAGTGGTTACCATAGAGCAGATACAGATAAACCGTTCAATAATGTGTTAAAATAAATTATTATTCAGCACATTGTGGTCGCATTATAGTGAAAAATAAACAAACGCCCCACTTAAATAATGATCTACGATGTATTAATAACTAAGTAAACCAGCGACCAAGTTACACAGCAGCCAATTCACATTGTTACAGAACAAAGACACACAAATTCATACCATGCAGAATATGCCGTTTAAGAAAATAGCATTATGATTAATAACGCTGAAACTGTAGTTTAATAATGTACTACCTGCCACTGCTGAAGTCATTTCGGGATGCAACGGCGACAAACACGAACACCAAGTGAACACCAAACCGCTCTAGCATGCACGTGAAGACTGGACAGTCACACGCATGACTGACTACTTCTTAGTCAGTTCTGGTAGCCTTGGCGTGCTACCGGGTCGAAACCTAGCGGTGGGTCCGCAACTTCTGTATGATGACGGTTCGTGCTGGTTTCCATGTCATTATTGATGACCTCGAAAAGGAATCGCTTACTGACGAACGCAAGCCAT